GTGTTGTAATCTCTGGGCAAAGGCCTAGGAGTCAGTGACCTCCTTTGTTCTAACCCAGATTTGATATGGGATCAACAGTGAGTCATTAGCCGTTTTCTCACATCTCAGTTTCCTCTAGGAAACAGGATCTGTCATTCTTTCATATCTTTTTATATGAAAGATGCTGTGACTGGGTTACATCAGCATCTCTTCACCAGGGAGAAGACATCGTTCAAAAAGTGCAGCTCCTTGAGTAGACCCCAGGGGTCGCTGTGGAGACACAGAAGGCTCCCGGAGCCTCTGCCAGGTCAGCTGGTCCCCATCTACCCCTCCAGCTTCAAAAAGCCCAGCCTCCATCCAGTGGGGACTCCTCAGGAGAGGAGACCGGCCTCCCTTGGCAACAAAGACGGCCCAACTGCTTCAGTTATAACCAGTATTATCTCTTTGAGGAGTTTTGCTAGACTTTGAAAAGTAAAAGAAAGAAAAGAGAGAAAATCCTGGAAGAGAACGGAGCCTAAAGTTAAATGCGACCACAATTAGGCACTAGAGTTAGTACAAGCAATGATGCAATACAAGTGGGGGAATTAAAGTTGGGTCTGCTGTGTATTAATAACTCAATCATTGGGGAAGTCTAGGGAAGGGGTTCAAGTCTATCTGTCTCTCTCTCTGTGTCCCGCTTTCTCACACATCCACAGAGAATCTGAAAAATAAAATCCCTATCACTTTGCTGTATACCTGAAACTAACACAATATAGTAAATCAACTATAGTTCAATTTAAGAAACAGAAAAAAAATCCCTGAACATCAAGCAAAAATAGTACTATGTTCCAGCAACTGCTAATATTTTCTTTCATCGGGCAATTGGCTGATAGTTCAGCAAAGTGTACACAGAAAGATATATCCATGATTAGAATGTTAAGTTGCATCCCCCCCGCCCGCCCCAAACCACAGTGCTATTGGTGTTCTTTCTATCTTCCTCAATTTCACTTGGAAAATTACAGGGGAAATAGAAAAAGAGATTGCTTGGTATTAAATGTTTAGCATTTATGTGAAACAATTACAAAGGAAACCTCACCGTAATGTCTCAGGCTGTATATTTTAGTTTATCTAATTCAATATGATAGAATAAACCAACATGATGATTTACTTTCTTCCATTGCTGAGCTTGGAGATTCCACTCTTCCTTAACATGAGCTGCTTATTTTCCTTGCAAGGAAAATCCACGATAATCCCTCACTTCTTTTTGCTCTGTCCTGACTAATATCGCATTGCTGCTAACTGAAGTTACAGATGGGTGGAGCGACACCCTTACGTAGGCTAAATGAATGGGAACTTTTGATGTCTCTAATTTAGGCCCTTTAAGATCGTCATAATAAAGTATACACCATGCCAAAGAGTCAAATTCATAGTCCCACTTACTTAAGAAAAGTTTCTGATTATCTTTCTATTCCATGTTAATGTCCTTTTGATGATAAAGATGTTTTACTTTCAGATTATTACTTTGGAAATGGTACCACTAGCAGAATTCAGCAACTGCAAATAAATCCCAGGGTTACCGGGTTTCTCCACGTGGGGATTACTGACATTTGGAGCTGGATAATTCTTTGATGTATGGGGGTGGCGGGTGGCAAAGGGACCTTTCCTGTGCATTCTAGAATGGTGAGCAACCTCCCTGGCCCTTCCACTCCCAATCATGACAACCCAAAATGTCTCCAGACATTGCCAAATGTTCCCTGAGGGTGCGGGCGGGGGAAGGGACAAAATCACCACAGTTAGAACCACAACACGTGCCTGATCTGTTACACGGAAAAGAGAGGGGAAAGAAAGAAAATAAAACTTTTTGTCTCTTCCTTTTTTTGACTGTCGAAGGGTCTACATATTTTAATTATTAATCATTTGGATTCTTACTCTGTTATGTGGAATCACTCTTTCTACATTTCTAAAGCCCTGTACAGTGTCTTTTGAATAGATGTGCTTGAAGTTCAAGTGGATTGTCAAAAGGACGAGAAGTCCACTAATTCCCACTGGGTAAAGTATGGGTAAACCTTAGCATAACTCCACTTTGAGCCTTAAACTAACAGCGTGTGAAAAGATCAATACGAATAAATTCAAAACTAATCAGATCCCTTCTTCAAATGTTGACACAGTATTATTTATGTCCCATAAATACCTTCTTGACTAAAATTCATCCTAGGAGATTGGCACCTGGCCAGTTCTATTCATATTTACTGTATTTATATAGTACGCTGGGCCAAGGATAATATTTAAGACAAAATATGCCTGAAGGCATATACAATATCTCTTATATTTTTACTTTTAAAACTCCGCATCGCTAAAAACATTTTGTCTGAACTGTGTAAAACGTCCTGCAAAGGGCTACCAACAATCTGTAATGATATATAGCTCATTGAGTATGATTAGAGCATATTTGTAATATTTGAGCTAAAGTCACTCCCTGAACGCTAATAAGTTGGTGGTAAAAAGTGAACCAGTGATCTTTCCCATGCCTTCATCTCTGGGGCTTATGACCCGCTGCGGATTCCCTTCAAGAAATGACAGGCACACTTCCTCCCCACCGTCTCTTCAGGGAGGACCGAGTTAAAAGTTAGGCGGAAAGGTCCTAAAGAGGGAAAGCTGGTATATAAGCCAATGCTGTCCTTTCCGTCTGCCCTTTAAAAATATGGTGGAGTGATTTTTTTTTTCTTTTCTTCCTTTTTTTTGGAAGGGTTCACTATATTCCAGTATAACTAGAAAGTACTGGAAAATCAGTTAACCTACTTTCTATAAAATTATCCACAGTCCTAGCACAGTAGTATCAAATCTGCTATTAATAAGGCTTTCTGCTCCTAAACTTCCTTTAAGGCTTTAAGAAGCCTGTACTCTTTGTAGGAAGACTGATAGTTTATATTTTATCCTGCACTGATCAGAGGCTTTCATTTCTTTGGTAGCTGGGAGAGGAAGCAGAAGGGAATCCACACAGGCACCTGAGATGCCAACCTCTGAAATCCTAATAATTTGAGAATTTTTTCCAATTTGGTGATGATGATAATCTTGCGTGGGATCACCTCAGTTCTTTAGACTGAAGAGTGCTTGAAGAACAAAGAATGAACACCCTCTTGGGTTATTTGCTCTCTCCACACCTATCTCATGAAGGGATCAGACCTCCTCTGTTATGAAAGTGCCAGCAATTCATGAGAGCTGTTGCAGGTAAACATTGAAAGCTTGGCTTGTTCTGGTTCTAAATAACGTAACTGCCCGCCTGCCCAAATTCCAGTAGAACGGTTGCACGTGCTAGAGAAAGCAAACTGACTCAACTCCCTGTTGGGTCTCAATGATTTTGGACTAATTACAATGAACTTTCTTTCCTAATTATCTCCATGGCTCCACCCCAGGTAGAAAGCTTTCCTTCACTCCCGGGGTGGGAGGGGGGAATCACCAGGGTGGAGTGTATTTATCACCATTGTTGTGGATGGTGATGTAATTACAATAACAAAATCATCCCGCTTGCCAGGATCTCCTGCCTCAGCTCTGCCCTTAAACAAGAAGAGATGATGCTGCAGCAAAACAGAGGTCGCCAGGAAGCCTGGGGTTGGATACGTCAGCTGACAATCTGAGACCATCAAATACAAGACATGGCAAGTCCCGGAACTACGACTTGTCAAACTAAATATAAATATTCAAAAAGAAAAGCACCACCCTGCAATTAGAACCTCTAGGATAAAATTACCAAGATGGCCATATTATCTCTGTAGGCAAGACACAGAGACGTTGTGAAGGCTGCCAGGGAGTATATAGGGCATGGAAAGGGGAGGAGAGAGATGGGCAACCAATGAAAAGTGTACGGCTTGGGATTTGGAATAGGCAAATGTTGGAGCTCTTTTTTTTTCCTTTTTCTTCTTCCTGGTATTTAACCCTCTCAGGCATCAATATATGCTTCTTTTTTTCTTTTTTTTTTTTTTAAAGAACTTGGAAATCATTCTAAGCTAACTGCCCTCTTCCCTTCCCCTCAAAGAACTCAACAATAAATCATTCACTCCCGTTGCTACTGTATGCCAGCTGGTTTTGAGGACACTGCCCTCAGAGAAGCCAGTTTAAAAAAAAAAAAAAATCGGCTGTCTTCTACGCTGAGGTTTAGGAATGCAACGAAGTGACTGCAGGAAGCCTATGAAAGGGCAGGGAATACCGGGCTCACGAGTGAGAAAGATAAACGATAAACGCATAAGAAAAAGGATCTGCTACACCGGCGATTTTAAGAAGGCAGGTTTGAGTGAATTCTGAAAAAAATAACGTGAAGGAAAAACCCTTTCAAACGTAGTCAGCAACGAAGCTGTCCTTTCTACCATTCCAGGTGAAATCAAAAGGGGACGTGGTTACAAGATCTCGCCTTGGGGGGAATGTAAACACCTCGCCGAGGCAGTAGATTCAAGAATTGAGGGGTTGGAGGTAGGATTTTGGAGGGGTCTCCAGATCGGGTTTTGTCTTGGCGACGCTGACATTTTTCGGGGAGTTTAGAGACAATAGGGAAGGCTTGGGGAATCAGCTGATAGGTCGGCACGGAAAGGGGCGCCTTCCGGAGAGGCTAGTTTTGAGCCACTTTTTTTTTTTTAACCCCTCGTGCAGCAGTTCGGCGGGCTTCAGGCCAATCGGAGCAAAGAAAACAAACCCACCAAGGTTTCCCGGTTTAACGCGGCCCCAGGGAGCGCCTCCAAGTTTGACAGAGGAGGGCTGACTCCTAGCCGGTGGCCGAGTCGAGAATTCCAGGGAAGAGAAAAAAAGAGAAAAACGCCTTATAAAAGACGGGGGCGTTGGGGGAAGGGAGAAATGGAGAAAATTAAAAGTCGCAAGTCCACGTTTTAAAGCCTAACGTCCTCAAGCACACAACTGGCAAGGAGGTGGACAGGAGCAGGGGAAGGAGCGAGCTGGGACCCGGAGAGGGCAGGGAGATCCCTGGAGTGGCTGCGGTTCTGGAAGCCTCGGGCAGCGCTAAGCCCCGGGGAGTGGAAGCGGGGAGCGGTACTTACTTTCCGAGGGGAAGAAGGGCGGCATGTCTATTTTGTAAACCTCCTTGGCGTAGTACTCCTCGTCGCTCCGCTCGCGCTCGCAGGCGGCCGCCCTCCGGCTCGCCTTCTCCTGGAGCAAGTCCCTTGTGCTGTTGTAGATAGAAATCACCTCCGGGGGGACCTCCTCGGGTTCGGGGTAGTCTTCTGGGGGGCTGGTGAGTTTCAGCTTGCTCAGGATCTGTCCGCGGATCGCCTCGATCCTCTTGCGCATGAACTGGTCCATGTCGAGCGTGCTGCAGGTAGACAGGCTGAGCGCGACCGTGACCAGATGCAGGAGGAGAAAAGCGCTCAGCACACAGTAGTGCATTTTTTTTTTTAAGGTGGAAAAATTTTTTTTTTAAAAAAGTAAAAAAGTAAGAAAAATAAAAAGAAACCAACAACTCTCAAAGTACAGATCAGGTAGATTTTTTTTTTTAATGCGAAACTTTTGCAAACAATCGGGAGTCAATGTCCGAGAGAAAAAGCTATCTTGCTTGAATTCCTTTAAAAAGAAAAGGCAAGTCGTTCCCCAAGTGGAAATATTAATACACGACGGGCAAGGGGGAAGCTTCACTTGGGGGAGTCAGCAAAAGTTTTCTTGGAGCGACGAGATGGGGGCAAAAAAAAGAGACGAGTGGCTATTAGGCAGAAATAAATTTAGGAGGAGGAAACGGAGTTCAGTGTGTCAGTTTCGGGTGCGGAGTGGCGGATCCGAACTCGGCTCCTCCGGCCAAAAGGGAAGAGATGAAAAGGTCCCGGGGCTGGCAGCGGGCGCGCCGGCGGGAGGGCCGCGGGCAGCGCTGTCAGGGGGGCGGCCGAGGCCGGCCGGCTCCAATTTGTATATTTAGAGAAGGAGCGGCGCGGCCCTGCCTTCCACTACGGCGCTGAAAGCAGGAGCAGCAGCAGCTCCGGAGCGGAGGGGCACACACGTGTGTGAGTGTGTGTGTGAGTGTGTGCGCGCGCGCGCCCGTGTGCGCGCGCTGGGAGCGAGCCCGGCCCCGGCGGGGAGGCGGGAGCGCTTCGCGCTGCGCCCGGGACTCGGCCGCGTCCGGCGGGGGCCGCGGGGGCCGCGGCGAGGATCCTGCTCCCGGAGGTGCGCGCGGGGGCCGACACCCCGGCCGGCGCGCCGACCCGCCCGGTCACTCCACGTTGCCGCCGCCGCCTCCGCCGCTGGCGAACGCGTCTGGCCTCCAGCTCCCTCCTTCTGCTCCTTCTCCTCTCGCTCCAAACGCCAACCCGGCAACAGACGAGCGGCGGCCGCCGCCGTGGCTTTCGCCCCCCGCGGACCGCAGCGGCAGCCCTGGGACGCGCCGACAGGGGAGTTTTATTCCTAGGGGGTTGCGAAGGGGTTCCCTTGGACTCCCACCCTTGCCCACCCACTCCTGGTTTCTCTCCCACTTGGGCTTTCTCGCTGAGGGCAGTAGGCACTTGGCAGCCTGCAGTAGATCCTCTCCTTCCTCTTTTCTGCAGCCAGGCAGCCCTTCGGTTTGCCCCCGAATGGCTCCCTAGACCGTTATCCTAGGTTCTCCATCCCTCTCGCCAGGCCGCCTCCACTTGCGCTGTCGCTCTTCCCTGTGTGTGTCTCTCTCTGCCTCTCTCGGTCTCTCTGTATCTCTCCCGCTGACTCTGCCTGCCTCTCTCTCTCTCTCTGGTCGGGAGCTTCTGGAGCTCCCCTCCGAGCGAACCTTCTGCTGCCAGCAGATAACATCACGATCCTGCCTGGGAGGAGAGATTTATAAGTTCTCTCTGAACCACGTGTTTGCCTTCAACGAAGTGACGTGCTAGGATTACAGTCAGAAGTCCTCTCGTTTACTTAGACCACGAGCTCTCCCTGAACCGTTGAGGGGGTGTGGAAATGAGGACGGCTGTGGGGAAGGGAGGGAGGAGGTGGTGTGCGCCCTGACAACAGTGATTTATGGTATTTACTTTATATAGTCATTTTGGACCCGTCTGGTGAAGGACATGCGATCAAACCTCCCATTTTTACTTCGTGTGGCTCGCTCGCTCACAGCCTCCCAGTTGGGATCACTTGCTCTAGAATGGAAGTCTTCCCTCCTGTATTGTACACACACACAACACACACACACACACACACACACACACTCTCCCACTCCCTCTCTCTCATGCAAATGAGCATCAAACAGTTGACTCTGGGCCAGGCCAGCCCTGAGATAGGTCATCCAAGCTCCACCTCCTAGCTTTTTGGTGGCATCATTTTCTGAGATTCCACAGCACCGTGCTGGTACCTCTATCCTAAAGCTTATTTTATTATGGTTTGTTGTTTACAGCCTAGCTCTGCATTTGACTGTGAACGGCTGAAAACAGAGCTCCCTCTTTTGCCCCTGGAGAATGAATTGTATTTATTTTACTGTTTGAATGAATGGCTCTTCTTAACTTGCTGCCTAAGCCACATCTTGACATGGCCTCCTCTTCACCTTGTTCCCCAGCTAGACTTTAGCAAAAATCAACTCCATTCTTTCCACAGCATATATCCGGAAGCTGGGATTTTTTTAAGTGTTTGATGTCGCTGTTATACACTACTCATAACTTGACATTTTCTATTTCAACCTAGTCCAAATTAGATAAATACAAAAATAATTCTTGCCCCTGTTCACTTTTCCCTTTTTCTTTTCTTTTACCTTTAGTTACCCAAAGTCAACATTTTCATTTCATCATGACGGTCGCCATACCGACTAGACAGATGATTTAAACTGGAAACTCTGTTGAGTTTTCCCCCAAACTCAAAGCCACTATATCACTCCCTAGTTCAGATATTCCTTTTATTATAGAAAGGTCACAAGGAGCTTTCTCTAACTGTTGGAATTTACACTTTCCATGTGTATGGGGCCTATACCATTAGTAAATAGAGGGGTAAATAGTTACGATAACAGTAGCTAACACATAGTACACTTAGTAACATGAGGCAGATCGACAGATGTGTATATATGTATATATATATATGGTCATTTAATCTTCACAACAACATTCTAAAGTAGGTATTATTATTATCATCTCTATTTTGCAGATGAGGAGACTGCGGTACAGAGAGGTTAAGTCCCTTGTTCAAGACCATAGTAAGATGGATTTTGCAATCAGAATGTACTGTCTATGTTCTTATCCACTACGTATTTCTAAGAAGCACTGGTACCAGAATATGTCTGACAAACAGGGATCGTGTGGTGAAGTTAAGCTTGAGAGATACTGGGTACTCTATTGCCTTCTTACAGATCCACAGTTTCCATCATGTTAAAGGCTCTGAGAATCTTACAGAAAATAAAACTGTTTAACCCTTTTAACCCAGCATATCCTGAACTCCCTTGAACATGGGATTTTTTCCTATGAAAACACATCAGAAAACTCTGGAATAAAGGAATTGTTCCAACCAACTTCTGAATAATTCTGAAAATTATGTGTACATCAGCATTAGCACGTTCCTTTCCTGGAGGTCACTTTCAAATTGAAGCAACTTGAAAGCAGTTAGACAACCAGTTACAACTCCAATAGCCAAAGCAAAATATACTCAAGAGGTGCTGCTATGGGGCTAGTAGTTTCACCAAGTTGTCATCCCTTTTGAGTTGAGTTTGAGAACTGCACTAATCTAGCTATACACAAAGGGGAAAAGTGACTGTTCCTACACATGGGGCAATTACAGGACATAAAGCAGGAGCTACTGAGTGAAGATCTGGCTTTGGAAGGCGGCTGGTAACCTTAGGCACCATGCTCCGCCAAGGACATAGGCTCATTCTCCCCTCAAATTAGGGAGACTACCTTCTAGATATAAACACAAACGTACCTGAGGTTAAGTGGATTCAGATTAGAGTGTGGATAGAGCAGCAAAAGTCCATCTCCATCACTGCTAGGAAAGCAATCTAAGCCATTAATCCTTCTGACAACCCCCTTCCCAACGTAAACACACACACTTTTGCCCATGGTATTTAGTCTGATGAACACGTACTGCTTACTTTACAACCCCTCAGACTCCTGGCCTGTTCATAAGAGGCTACTTTTAATTTCCCCAAAGCCCAGGAAGCGAGGACAGGGGAAGGGATGGTAAACTCTTCTAGTGTGGCTGAGGAGAGTGACTTGAGTGTAGCAGGAGAGGAGGCGCCCCTTTCTACCTCTCAGGTGAGCAATACTTTGAAGATGCAACAGGTAAGACTTCAAGAGCTGTCCCCCGGGTTTACCAAAGCCATGCGGTAAAAGGGGATTTCACCCACACAGGCCATCCTGATTAGCTCAAGGAGGCAGGTGAGCATAGTGTAAAAGGGGCAGGTTCCAGACTCAAGTTTTCTTGGGTTCAAATATCCATTGCTTTCTGGCTTTGTGATCCTGGCTAAGTTACTCAGACACTTGTGTTAGTTTCTTCATCTATGAAATGGGCATAACACATAGTACCAACAAAGTTAAGATTACTGTGAGGATTAAATGACACAAGGTACCAAGAGAGTTTCTAACACAACCTGGCACTTAAATATATGCCCATTAAATGTTAGTGACCGTTCTTGTATCCTCTCACTTCTTCGTATCTGTCAGCTCTTTCTCCAACATAAATAGGATGAAAAAGCCAGGGAAGATGCTAATTAGAATTTGCTTCATGGTTATGCCTCCTAGCAGTTTCTGTAAGTTCATGCTCATTGTTATTTTAAACATTAGGGTATTTTGCCCCTACTAATTGTAGGAAGAAAGGGCAAGAAGATACACTTTTGGTGAATAGAACTCTAAATGATTATCAAAATCCAGTTAAGTCCAAATTCCAGTTTAACACCCTAAAATGGAATTCTTTGTTTTCCAGATCAGTGGGAGAGGGTATAGCTGTTTCCACCGCTAGCCCTTCTCTGCTCATTAATGGGTACATTCACTTAAGTAATGTGCAGGTCCTACAAGAGCCTAAACAAATGCTTGATACCAAAACAACTACTCATCCCTGTCCCTGAGTTTTACCCCTAAGGATCACAGACAAGAGTTTATAATGTAATAGGTCCTTCCTAAGTCTGGTGAAAGAAAAACTTCATTTGTAACAATTTTGAAAGCTTTCCACAATGGTTTCAAGCCTCAAAAACCAGGAGGTGGGGAAAAGAAATATACAGAGCTACTGTAATTGATTACATTTTACTCTGGATAGTTACACTTGAGAAAGGCAAAGTAACCCTTTAATGTGAAAATATACCAAAAGCCTTTTAAGTTCTTACTTGTAATTTTATCTTTGATACCACAATTCAAAAACAATGTTTGGTCCATAACACAATTTTGTCTCATGTTCTGTATGCATTTTTATGCAAGTTTCTGCTCTCAGAATAATGAAATGAAAATGTTTAGTGATTTCCACAAGAGAAATCATCCAAATATTGTTTCCATTCTGTATCTATATAGGTTTACCCAAGAAAGAAGTGATAAAGGACAAAGGATGGCACACTGGCAGGGAGGAAAAGGCTGAAAGAGATCCCAGGTGGTGAAAGATAAAGGGGTGAACTCAGGAGACAGGGAAAAGCAGACGTATCAGTAGGTTATGAGGTTTTAAAGTGATAAACTCCTCACACTTTGATGATACACTGTGGGAACACTGATCTTACCCTTTGGAATTGCGATTAGTTGATGGACTACTTACTGCTGGTGGCCTTGGGGCCCTTCTACCTCTATATTTTCAGCTCCGTGAGATTTCCAACAGGGGGCAACCTCCGGAGGCCTGGATACTGTCACCGCCTACTGAAATCAGCCAGAGATTCTGGTTTCTTACCCCCGGTGAAATTCAGCCACTAAAATAGCACTTGGTGATTGATATAAATAAATG